GAGAGTTATTATTATTATTATTATTATTATTATTATTATTATTATTATTATTATTATTAAAAGTATAAAACAAATCATAAAATTTAAGACAATCTTTCTATTTTCAAGATTGCTTTGTATTTCATGAACTTAAGATATATAGAATTTGATGTAAAATTTATTTTTACAGTGCAATTGTTACAAATTAATAAAGATGTTTCTATAAAAACATTTGTTTACTGCTTTTAAAAAACTTACTGTTTCATCTATGTGATCAACAGGAAACAGACCTTCCTCTCCTGTCCTCTGCACTCGTCCCTGGTTAAAGAAATATTTTAAAAGTCAAATTTTGGATGAATATATGAATAAATGTAATAATAAAATTTTTAATGAAAAATAAAACTATTGCATGATAATATTAAAGGATATAAACTATGAAACTGTATAGACATTTTTTTTACACACACAGCAATTGTGAGCAAATTTTCACTTTTCTGAGAAAAATTGCTAAAATCACAATAATTTAAGAATTTAGCCAAAAAATTTTCCAAATTTAGGGCAAAATGGATGTGAAAGAAACATTTTTAGGCCTGGGACAATGAAAAAATCTGGCTGCCCAGTTTTATAAGTATGCACCAGTGTTGTATTTCTTAACTGTTGTAATATATGCAATATATGAGAGTGGTTTTCCAAGCTCTGATGGTCCATAAAACAAAGACAAATGTAAATAATAAAATTAATTTATTATCAAAATTAGGTACAAAATGGTTACTTTTCGACATAATCACTGTGAAGATTGAGGCATGGCTTGTGAGCGCTAAGATTGGCTTTACTTTACTGCTAGACTTATTACACCACCACAGGATATCAAATTAGATTTAGAAAAACACTATTTTATTTTCAGAATGCATTTCAGATACGGAGTCCCTCATCAGCTTTTTTGCTACAAAATTAATAGGACGTTAACAATTTTTATAAAAGACCGTGATTGACAGAAATGAACAAAGAATGTGAACTTACATTTGACATATGGATTCGATGCGTTGAACATTAATTAAAAGACTAATCACGCGATAAAACAAAATTTTCCATTAAAAACAGTCCATTCCATTTCCATTAAATAAAATTATTATGTTAATGTTGATACAATAACATAATAATAAACAGAGGTTCTGGTAAAACAATAAAGTTGTAAAAATATACATTGTTAAAACAAAATGATAAGTAGATTCATAGTGACATGAACAGAGTAACAAGACAATTAGAAGTACATTCCAGGGTAACTGTCACCCTCACCCCTATCCGTTTTCACACCTCTCCCCTCCCCTACGCCTCCTCTGGTCAAATATGCGTACCACGATTCATGTAATTTCTGACCAGAGTTGTTATTCATGATTTTCTCTTTGCTTTTTATTATTTCTAAGTGTTCATACCATCTTCTTTTATAAGTATTTTGTTCCTTTTTAAGTATTTTGACAGTATCCTTTACAATCTGACAGCCTTCATTATTACAGTGGGAGGCTACAGCCGAGTTATCATTGTTGTGTGCTATGGCAGAGATATGTTCATTGAAACGGACCTTTAATTCTCTACTAGTTTCACCAATGTAAGATTCGGGTGTGGTACAGTTGCATTCATATTTGTAAACAACGTTTTTTTGGTCCCATATGTTAGTTTTTCTGTTAGGTACATTTATTTTCTTATGTAAGCTGTTGCGATGTTTGGGTATCAAAATAATATTATACTTAATTAATTTACTTTTAATTCTTTCAAAGATATTCATAATGTAAGGAATTTTAAAAAATTTGTAAGCAGTGTTGTCAATTGGTTGTTTGTATGCATTAACATATTTATTATTAAGCCAGTTACTGATCATGCGCTTGCTATAACTGTTCAATAAGTACGTTTTTATGATGTCTTTGATCTCATTGGATATATCGGTATCATATGTGGTACGTTGCATAATTTTATCCAAGTACATGTAAAAGGTATACCTAGATAATGAAAAACACATCACATCAAGAGAGGAGACCCTACAAAATGAAAGATACCGGTTAAATGTAGACATTTGAAACTTAAAAACTTGTCTCAGAGAGGGCCTATCCCTACCAACTTTAAAATTAAAAGCCAGCATTGCAAAGGATATGCAGAAACATAACGTAGTGATTGTAGAAAAAATAATGTTACGAGCTGTGGGGCTCGAGAAATAAATTCAAAATACAGTTTACCGAAACTGATGCTTTTTAGATACACTAATGACAAAAATTTTATATAACTCGTTAAAAGAAAAAAATCTCCGACGTTCCTTTTTTTCAAATCCCTTCTTTTCCTTCAAAATTGTTCTTCTTTTTGAATCATTCTTTTTTTTATTCTGCCACTCTCCGCACCATGGTGCTAGTCTCCATCGAAGCCGGCGCGACACTGCCCTCCTCTTAAGGCATGCTTGTCCCGAGCATCATTACACCCATAGTACCGCACCAAACGATCAACATGAACAATCTTGGGTGCAGTTCTCGACCTCTTCTGTATTCGGTAGGTGACATCATTGATTCTAGTCACAACACGATATGGTCCGTCCCACTTTGGCTGTAATTTAGGAGACTTTCCCTTGCTGCACACAGGATTATGTAACCACACTAAGGAACCCTCTTCAAAGCCTTGATTGTTTGCCGTCTGATCATATCGGGTCTTCATCCTTTCAGACATTTGTTGACTGGACTGTCGGATGTGGTCATATATGTCATTCATCTTATGACGTAAATCGTCCGCATAGTCAGTCATGCTACGTGGACTATCAGGTGGGGTACCGATAATTAAATCTGCGGGCAATCGTAGTTCTCTTCCAAAGTTTGCAAAGACTGGCGTAACAGACGTACTTTCATGGACCGCGCTTCAGTATGCCAACAAAAATGGTTGAATGTGTTTGTCCCAGTCTCATTGCCGAGTCTCTATGACTTTTGCCAGGTACTTTTCCAATGTCTGATTAAATTGTTCCACCATTCCGTCGAATTGTGGATGATACGAGGTGGTTCTGGTTTTGTGGGATCACACGGCATGTCTCCCGAAATATTTGGGACTCGAAATTCCTGCCTTGATCACTGTGAATCTCTAAGGGTACTCCAAACCGACAGAATACTTTGTGGACTAATTTATCGGCCACAGTTACAGCTTCTTGGTTGGGAATGGCGAAGACCTCTGGCCATTTAGTAAAATAGTCCATGACAATCATGAAGTACCGGTTTCTATTTTCACTTTCAGGAAACAGTCCCGCAACATCTAACGCTATTTGTTCCCATGGAGCTCCAACATTGTACACCCTTAATGCACCTCTACTGTGAGTTTGAGGTCCCTTCACGGTCGCACAACTGGTACATCTGCGACACCATTCCTCCACATCATCACGACAGTGGATCCAATAAAATCTCTCGCAGATCTTCAGTAAGGTCCTCTTCACCCCCATATGGCCTCCAGAGCAGCCGTCGTGGTACAGTTTTAGGACCTCTGGAACTTTTCCTTTGGGAACAACCATTTGCAGATGGTAGCTGTCCCCTTAGGTATTTTCCCACTTACGGCACAATATCCCGTCCTGTATGGTCAAGCTGTCCCATTGTGCCCAATAGCTCTTTGTAACTGGACTCATAGCTGCAACATCGCTCCAGTTGGGCCTAGGAGCATCAGCCTTCAACAACCCGAGGATCGGCTTAATGTGCGCATCCTTTTTCTGAGCCTGTTGTAAGGCTTCCTTCCATTCATTACTGATCTCCATTTTCAACATTTGCACAGGAACAATTTCTTTAGCCTCTTGTCTGACACAGTGCATACAGTCATCCGCACTAGGCCTTCTTGACAAGGCATCAGCATTACCATGCATTTTCCCTTTACGATGTTCAACCATGAAGTCGTACTCCTGTAGCAGCTCTATCCACCTTGCTACTTGTCCTTCTGGATTCTTAAAATGCAAAAGCCACTTCAACGCAGCATGGTCTGTATGCAAGCGGAATCTTCGTCCAAGCAAGTAGTTGCTAAAATGTTGCAAGGTTTTAACTACGACAAGTAATTCCCTTCTTGTCACGCAGTAATTCCTTTCTGGTTTGGATAAGACTTTGCAGAAGTAGGCTATAACAAATTCTTGATCTCCTTTTCGTTGAGACAAAACCCCACCAATCCCCGTGTTACTCACATCTGTGTCAACTACAATCATTTTCAATGTCAGGGTAGCCCAAAATTGGCGTGTTGCAGACGCTCCTTTAATTCCTGGAATGCAATATCACAACCCTTGTCCCAGCAGAATCGTGTCTTCTCTTCTGTAAGTTTATGCAGTGGTTTGGCAATATCAGCAAAATCCTTCACAAACCGACGATAGTAGGAGCATAAGCCCAAAAAAGCTCTAACTCCTGTTTTGTCTTTTGGAACTGGCCAATCTTTTATGGCGACGATTGTATCTGGGTCTGTCTGCACCCCCTTTTCTGAGACAACATGTCCCAACTTGTCTTTGTCTCTAGGATCTATTTCCACCTGCCAGTAGCCACTTTTTAGGTCCAGGGTGATGAACCACTTCATTCCTGTCAGCGTATCCAATGTGTCGTTGATCCTTGGCAGTGGATAGCTGTCCTTCTTCGTAACGTTGTTCAGTCGACAATAGTCCACACAGAAACGCATGCTGCCATCCTTCTTCTTTACCAGGACCACAGGTGAATACCATGGACTAGATGAGGGCTCTATAAAGCCATTCCTTACCATTCCCTGAATCATGGCATCCACCTCTTGTTCACGTGCCATCAGTAGCCTTCCCTGTCGCTGACGGATCGGTAATCCATTCCCTGTATTTATTTTGTGCCAAGCCAATCCCGTCTTCTCTATATCAGCGTCAGTTGACTAGAAAATGTCGGCATATTGAAGCAACATCTTTTTAGCTTTGTTTAGTTCCTCTTTCGACAGATCCTTACGACATTCCTCCAGAAGCATCGACACACTGAATACAGAATGTTTCATGTTGGTCGCAGTAGATTGTTCTTGGCATTTACGCATCCAAGCAACTTCTTCACAGGTGACCATCAAAGTGCCTTTTCCAACAACCTGTTCTCTATCACCCGAATTTAGAACATGTACTGCTGAAATGTTTGTGGCCCTCACCAACATTCGCACGATCTTCCATGGTAGGCCACTGTCTAAACCCTCTATGAGGACACAACGATTCTTCTGGCCAGCGTTATCTGGTAGTCTAATTGGTATGATAGTTTCTGACCTTGGGGGAAGAACAATCTTATTCAAGCAGCATGTTTCACTCGATGATGCACCTTCCATAAAGAGTTCTGCCA